AAGAGGATGAGCTGGGGTACTGGCAGGGCGCCCACACCTGACAGGGGAACGACTCAGGTCCTCAGCCAAAGCCTTCGATAAAATGAAGACCCGATAGGCAGCGGGTCTAGCACATGGTCAGTTCACTGACTCATGCGGATTGGTGTCCTGGATCTTAGCGGGGAGAAGGGCGAAACCCAACTCCTACCCAGCGGTCGCAACGAGGAGGCGTCCAGGACATGGGCAAATAGCACAACAGTATCAGCAGTGGGTAGACCATCTGTCAGGATCTAGCCACCACCAGCCTCAGCGCACCATAGGCTCTCCTGCCACTGTTCATTCATACTTCATAAGTAACATGGTAATAGGTGTGGTATTTCTGGACTTCCAGCCAAACGAGTGTGTCATTATTGTGAGAAAGCATCATCTAAATATCGTCCAATTTTTCATTACTCAAAGATTCTCATTTTGTTCATATAATTATAGATCACTCATTTGCTTTTGTGACAGAAACGTGATTGTAACTCAGCTTCTTTAAGTGGACGACGCGATATAAAGTGAAACGAATCCCTTGTTAATGCATGCTACATTTGGAAAATTAATTTTCATTTCCTTATTATGTTACACATATAGCCGGTTGTATACCAGAGGCGTTTAATTAGTATCATTCTGATAGATATAAGACAACTCGGCTGGATCAGCTGATTGGTTGGTGGCGGTAAAAATGGATCAAAGTCTATTAGTGCGCGATATCAAACAAAACACCACACTGAGTGAACTGATTATTGCTGGAGTAATACCCATGTTTGCTGAAGGCAGAGATAATGCCCAACCGATCTATACTGACGGGCCTAACTCTTTCATGGGTAGCAAGTAGTCATCGTTGGGTCATTGCAAGCGGACCCAATCCAAGGACGTCGTGTCAGGCCTACTGCTGGGTCAAATAACTATGTGGTTATTAAGGAAATATTTCTCGTGTGTTGCCAGATAACTGCCTCCTGTTGAATCTGAGTCTAGAAAACTTTAGCGATGTTGAAATTAATCGGTTCCTTTTCATGGTGGTATCATCAGTACGCGCATCCGTTCATGCTAGCTAAAAGTGAGAAACATTCAAGCGATTGTGCCGCAATACAAAAAGATAAGACATCTAAGAACAAGCGTGCTCCAGGTGTTTTCAATAATTTACAAGCGACTTTCTACTAATAAAAAGTACAAAAATGAAAGACGCATCATATTATGCTTGGAATGGGAGATCGCGGTTGGAGGGGAAGATAAGTAACTCACAACGTAAACACCATTGAGGTTAATACATCGTCGTGTTAACAAGTGTATTCAACCGAAAGAGTTCAGCCTCTTTCGGACCCCAGCCCGTAAGTTAGAAGGCACCAACCAAAGCCAAGTTCGGTGTGTGGGTTAGCGTTCCTACCAGAATCGGGTCGCGCAAACGCCGCACTTCGCGAGAATCAGTGCGCTGGTAAGAGCAACCGGCCGACCCATCGAAGATGATGCACACTATGAAGAGGATGAGCGGTTCGTTCATCTTTCTTGCACCTGATGCGCTACGCCGATGTTGAAGAACACGACTACAGTGGGCCATTAATTACTATGGCGGCCCTCCGACAATAGGCATAGTGTAAATATGTGGCCAATAGATTCTCGGATTCGGCGAAAACCGGTTTGCTCCTCTCGCATCTGGTCTTCACGGATGCCAGTGAGTCTTTGAAGAATGACATATCCAAGCAACTAAGGGGCAATTAAGACACAACTGATATCTATAAATTTCACATTTCGAACGTGGGCATTCTGCTGTGAATCCCTCATGGGTCCACAGACGTTCAACGCCAAGCCGTTTCCCTCTCGCTTACCCCGTCCCACCGGTTCAGCTTGCAAGTCACACAGATGACCATTACACTGATGTTCCCTCGGAGTCACCGTTAGCTACTTCTATTACGTCACAGCTTATGTTAGCAGGTTTTATCAGGTGACCATTACCGTGCCGCAATCCGCCCGTGATTTCCTTGGTAACACCGTTGTTGGGTGACAATTTGCATTAATTGATGCTCGCCCTTGTAAATGCTTTGTTACTCTCGTCAGCCTGGCAACACAGTGCTATGAATACAGAGGTGTAGAATTTATTTTCGCCTTTCTGCTGAGTCAGTAGAAGCGCTCTTGTCGACGGACTGTCTTCATTCTCCCTCTCAGTCTAGCGGTGCAGTTCTACGATTGCGCTCGTCTCCTGTGTGTGATAATCGCGGCTAGGATCTGAGGGGACATTAGCGGTCTGCATTTTGTGCAGCTACTCGACGCGTGGAGAACGACATCCACAAGCGTTACCGGCTCGACTAAGCAGTATGCTTAACACAACCCTTAGAAATTTTGCCTATAACCGAGCAGCTGCAGTCTGGTGAGACAATCTCCTGCTCTCGAAGCTTTCCTAGTAATTTGCGTAAATCAGCCACAAGAGCAGGTCCCCTGAATTTGAAGAGGACTGGCAGAACTTTTCATACTGCTGCGGTCTTGCAATTTCAATAGTAAAATCACTAGTTCGAATTCTGTGCGTGAATGCGGATGCATGGGGATGGCCCATAGATAAGCATGACCACTGGCCGCAAAGTTAGCTGATAACTCAGGCTGATTAGAATATTTTCAAAACATTCGGCCCAACACTCCAAGCTTTTTGACGAGCTGTGACTAGGCTGTCTATAGGCTATAGTCTCACTGAACTCAAGTATTAGACTGAATTACTTCCGATGGTTATCAAGTACAGCAGCCATTTACATCTCCGTGCACAGTGCACCACCAGGTTTCGCGGTCTCTATTTAGGCAAGCACATAGTTTCGCCCTGAGAACTTTGCGAGTCTCATTATGTTCGTTTCCAACCAGAACGAGTCGATGAGCATCCGGAAATCCCAGAAACTGCGTAAAGACCCTATCTCTAAGTTGGCAATTTGATTTGCCAGTTGAAGACATGCCTGCTTATAGTGTTGTGTGGACACATAAATAAGCTCGTATCTTTAGGTGTCACCTCCACCACAGTAAAAATTGCATTGATCTGTTCCACTATTAACCCAAAGTCATACCAAATGTGCACATTAAGTAAAAACGAAATTGAAAAGGAAACTCCTAAATGCAGTAGCCATTTCGTTTCCTGCTGCCCACCTGCATGTTGATGCGGAAACTGCCACGTTTATTCCCTAATGACTTAAGGACCGACGCCCAGTCATGTCCTAATCTTTTGTCGTATATCCATTTACTTGCACCAGAGATGTAAGACACATCGGACACACGACCAGATGCTTAGCCAAAAGGATAACAGAACATTGCCGAGCTGCGTTACGGAAGCGCACAGTTGAACGCATCAACAACTCTATTTTGGAACATTTAACCCAAAGCGAGAATCAAATTGTCACCTCGCAAGCTTTTAAATCTTGCTACACCGCACCAAGACGCAATCCAAGAGGGATTAAAAAGCATCTACTAATAACGACCGTGGCAATTGCGATCCGTCGAATGCAACCGGAACTGCGCAAACAGAGAACTGTAGTGCAGACGTCACATTCGCCATAGCAGTTATCACCTTGAGCGCCGCTTACTTCGATCCCAGACGGTGATTCCGTGACCCGTGTTCGTCAGTAGCTTCATCGATTGGAGAATTTGCTCAATTTATAAATTAATACTAGCCTAGCTATCTTAGCCTATCATAATGTAAACCATTTTTATCTTTGTGTTTGCCTGAAGAGAATAATTGAAAAGAAATTCCTTCGCTGAGAAGCTCTTTTGAAGTTGACTCACTTTAGAAAACGCAGTCTTTCAAGTCTAGCTGCGGATATCTTTAGTAGTGAGTCAGTGGTGTCCTTATCGTATTGCATAAACCGCCTTCGAAGGACGCTGGCGTTGTAACAAGGGGTATAGCTTTCTAATATTGTTCAGAAGAAGGGCGTCAACCTTATAAGTCCAGGCTGGGATGCATGGCGGTTCGATGATCTTCAGCCACAGTGACCAACGGTCATCACTTCGTCCTCGATAACTAGTACCGAAGGTTACTCAGGCAAATGTCTGTCAGTGGTGTCGTTTTCGTTGTTCGATTACAGTATTCACGCCCCCGCATCTACGGATTCGTGGCTCCCTAGCTCCGTATCCACATGTCAAATCTGTGCTTGCGATGGTATTTGGCTAAGATATGTGTGTGGTCCAGTCCACAGGTTATTAAACGGAATAGGAACCAAGGAGGTCAAGTGGTATATCAATTTTAATTACTTGCACAATACTCAAACAATGTTATTACTCTTCGCAGAAACATCTTGTGTATAAATGAGCGTCACTTTTACCGCTTTACTTTGCTTTCCAGCCAAAGCTACTGAAGTCGTTGTCAAGGAATTTCATCTCATTTTTATGAGAAGGTTCAATTTTTATTAGCTTTTTCCATGACAATTCAGTTAACCAGGGGCGTAAAAATATTGTCCTCGAAAATTGAAATAATGCAAAACACACTGTTTCCCACTTGATTACCCAAGAGTCTCTGTAGCCATCCATTGTGGAAGCCATTGTCGTCAACTGTAGCTTACCGTCTAGCAAGGATAAGCGTATTTCATCAATTACAAGGACCGTTGTCGCAATTTTTACGACAAAAGCCTTGATTGTAGAAAACCCACCGGATGTACCACACCAGGATATTATGGATTACACGGACTGGGTTATGAAAGAGTTATTTCTTTCGGCCTCATGAACTTGCTTAGAAAAGTGTGCAACATCCCCTAAAGTTGTTAACCATGCTGAATTCAGCTTCCTTTGCCATTAATGTCACCTTTACTACAGTGACACCACAGAAACCGATGTTCGCTATCCGGGTTGGCATGCTTGCTGATGTCAGTCTACCCTTATCGATCGGGAAATCTCAACCCATAGCAATGCTTTTCCGCTGATAGTGGCCTTCGCACAGGCACATGATTGGTGAGAACCCAAGGCCGTGAGGGATACAGCGCGAATCAGTGTATTAAGCGGACGTCTCTTTCACACTACCGCAAAAATGTAACCGTTCTTGCTGAGCTATACCACAAGGGTGATGGGAAGTGAGCATAGTAGACTTTCTTCTTCCAGTCATACCAATCGCCGAAAACGGCTCAGTTTACCATCGCATTTGGCTTCAGCGCAACGAAGTGTGAGCTGTGAACTAAGCAGCCCTACTCCTGGAAGCAGTTCCAGCGCACCTCCAAGCGACAGTCATCCGAACTGCTGTGTTTCATGCGGTTACCCTGCTCCAAAGGAACAATTCACGGAGTTTGAGCAAGATGTACTACTGTCAACATGGCCCCTAATTGCTGCGGATAAACTGACCCATGGAAGTATGGTGATCGAAAATGCGCACCGACTGTTTCCCGGTCTGGACAAGTTCTTACCTGTAAGGTAAGTCTAAGATATGTGACTTTAATTAAGCCTGACAGTATGTGCAGATTACTAAAGTTGAAAGTCGATGCCTTTGTTAGATCACAAGCCGTAACCCGCTATCATTTTGTTAGGGTTAAACTACTTTGGAAATGGAAATAATTGTCAGCCGGAGGCAATCCAAGTGCCTCACTTATGGTTAGCGGCATCCGGTTTCGGATTTATCTGTCACTGAGGCCAGCCACAAGACGCCTGCGCCTACAAAGGGGACCATAGATGGCTTGGGCTGCACCACCCACAGCTCCATCCACACACCACACATCCAGTGTAAACCCGAAGGAATGAGATCGCGAGGCATGTGGATGGGAGCCACGTTTCATCAACGGAGCCGGCCCACACTTCTTCACACGCAAACACAAGCACGCTGTATTTGGGAAATCAAGCGCACACAAGGCGGTGGCTGGACCGTAGTCCGCTCCACACTGAGTGCATGGAACCACTCTTCGAGCATAGCACGACCACAAGGACGGTGCACCTTGGCCCTTCCAGCAACGGCCAACTATCTCCTAGAGCCAGTATGGATGAGGTAGTGGGTAATAGACAGGTAGGCACCTTGTCAACATGCACATCAAGCGCAGCCACACCGGAGATGTCAAACAACAGCCATTCATTTGAAATGACATTATCAAGTAAAATATATCTGTTAAAGAATGCGGCTATGCAGACATAATTCTTCCCCACATTGGCATACAAATTAAGTTGGTTAGCAACGAATCCGCGGTAAGTACAAAATGTCCGGAAATTAATCAAAAAATGCTACAAAGGCAATAAAGTTAACGAAGCTAATCACAATGGGCGTAAGCAGCGTCGCCATTTAACAGCTTATTCGGGTAGGTAGAACAAACCAAATAGGGTGGAATGAAATTTATCCAGCTTAAAAAGACGTAGTTTAAGCATATATACATATAAATATATATATTCAAACTCTGTTAACAGATATTGTGCCCTCAGAACCATGGCAGAAGAAAAATCGGAGAAGATTGAAACACGAACTCCGATAAAAAGAACTGGAAAACGAAATTTTGTTTAACATACGCCATTTTGAATTTTGCTTTGTGAGTTTTGTGGGTATTAACGGGGGATATAATGGCAGAAAAACATTGACGCCACTGATGTCTGTTGCAGGCCATGACGTCCAATGTTACCAACCACTCAGATTCAGCAGCTCGTTGTCCCCAACCTGGAAGACGGACTGGTCTGACAGCCGCCAAACTTGAGGTCAGTTTCTTCATGAGCCTTCTCCACGTCATTGGCTGTTCACCGCGGCAAGTTATCTAATCGCTCCCTGGGCGTGCAAATGGCACTCGACGTGGAAGGCGATTGGCTGGCATGCGCAAAACGTGCCCTGGCCAGCGCATGTGATGTTGGAGAAAATGGTTTTGAACACTGGCACTACTCGCTTCAAGCACTCGGTCTCAGACCTCTGCGTTGCTTAAGTGATGTTGCGACCACACCCGAGCAATTCTTCGTGTACAGAGATTGCCGATGACTGACAGTCGCTTCATTTCTTCAGAGCGAATAGGCCAAGTCTCACAGTCGTACAACAGTACTGCACGGACGGAAGCATGGTACTCCCTGCGCTTGAGCTTGAGACTGACATCACAATGACGCTATGGGTGTCTCATTTTGACGAATGCAAGGTGGGCCTTTGCAATCCGCTGTGAGACTTCATGTCCAACACCCTCACCAGCCGTGGTGCAACTCCCTATATAAGTTAAGTAAGGGGCTTACTCTAGAATATGTCCAGCAGTGGTGAGCGCGGGTTCAGGCACCTGCCAGTCCTGGAGCAGCGTTTTACATTTTCCCTGATTGTAACTGTGGAACTCAGTCTGTACCACTGGAAGACGATGCATTTCCATGATTGCAACTGTGGTTTAATGCAGCACCAGTATTGATGGATTTCGTACTGCGTTTGGTATTGACGCGTCTTCAAGAACCTCAGTATATTAATGGATTGCGAAATTAAAGCGGTCCCTGGATAATGAGGTACGGTGTGGTCGGCCTGTGAAAGCCACCACCGAGGACAACATTGTTGCTGTGCATGGGATGTTGGAGGAGGACGCGCGGGTGACTGGCGTACAGCTAGGGAAATCCATCGCCATCTCATCGGGATCAATCCGCACCATCTTACATAAGAACCTCGGCCTCAGATAGGTTTGCGCCTGCTGGGTACCCTATCAGCTCATTTAGGGCCGAAAAGCAACGCGGGTGAATTGGGGCCGCACCAATGCTTGCCTGGTTTCTGATGGACGTTCCAATGATGTTTGGGATATCCTCAGTGGTGTTGATACCTGGGTGTACAGTATTGACCCAGAGACCAAGGAACAAACGGCTCAGTTGACGGACATTGGTGGAGCGCAGCCTCAGGAATTCTGTCGTAACTACAGTGTGGCCAAGGAGACGGTGGCTGTGTTTGTGGCCAGACGGTTCATGTTGCTGCTGTACCACTGGTACGGCAACGTACAGTCACCGGGGGTTTGTATGCCACCCACTGTCTACCACAAGTGCTGGAAGCCGCAACCAGGCATAGTTTAAGGACTAGAGCACGAGAGACCTTGCTGCATCATAACATGGTACCTGCACAGAGGTCCCATGTCGTCGTATATTTTCTGGCTATAGAACTCGTCCAGGAGGTTGGTCACCCACCCTACTGTTGTAATCTGGCTCCGTGTGACATGGGTTCTCAAATATTAAGCGCATGGTGGGCGTACTCAGCTACGAGTTTCCAGAAGCTGCAGTAGGGGGCCGTTATTAAGCTGCTTGAAGGATTAGTCGCTTCGGCGTGGTCTAGCAGCTTTTCCAAATGATTTAAGCTCATGGAAATGTGCACGAACGCTGGTATAGGGTACTTCGAGAAAATGCAACGCTTAATTTGTTGTAAGAATAAAACTTTTTGTGTATCCGGAAACTTATTGACTTACCCTACTTTTACTAATATTTTGGTAGAATTCTAGCTATTAACAAGGTAGTACATGACTTTCAACGTGGCTTTAGTCAGTCCATGTGGATGGGCTGGGCTGCGCTGCCAGTAAGCCAGGACGTCATAGAATTCCCAAACATGCCATTTCTATTTAACTTTTTGGGAAGTTTATGCATTAAGTACGTAACACCCGTTCTATTGAACCTAAAGTTAATTCCCGTAGGAAGGTGTACTAAGTTAAAACGTGAGTTACTTGTCCTGTACTAGTTCAACAAATATTGTACGTAATATATCCTTAAGCTCTTAGCGCTCTCAGTGAGCTTTCCCCGAAACTTTAGCATATGCAGCATTTTAATGACAACCAGCTTTCTCCTTACTAAGTTCGCGTTTGATTCACATAATGCTTTGGTTCTCACACGCTAAGGCAAGGCGGCAATGCGCGTTTTATTCTCAGAGGTAGCTGTGAGTATGTAACATGTGTTGCCGTTACCGTCATATCCGGCCGCTCCAGAAGTTCCATATAAGATGGTACATGAGGGAACAATCCATTTCGTCAATCTGTAGTGGTTGAAGCTTCGTAACTGTGAATGGGTGTCAAGCTGCGTCCACAACTTCTCTTAGTGGAAAACCCTAATACTTGTCATGGAAGCTATACTCTCAAAGTGCCAGGCATGTTGTTAGAGACGACGAAGCAGGCATACATTGTCAACTGCAGTTTCCAGCACCTTGAACATTCTACACAGTAGTGAATGGGCACGTTTTAAATTTAAACGAAAAATGGCATTTCCTCGTAATCCTGATACAGTTCTCTACACCAACACACGAAACAGTATGTGGTCCAAGCCAATTAATCCTATCTAAAGCATCTGTTCACGAAAGATGCGTTTCGCCCGTATCCTAACTAAAGGGTGAAGTAATATATCTATCTAGCTGTCTATCTAAATTAGATTAGAAACAAGCATAAAAAGGTCCAACTTTGTGCTTCTCAATGAGTTTTATGAGGCAAAATCAAGTTGTTTCACGTTGTCTGCTAAGTTTGGTATTGCACCAGATTACAAAAATACTGTTAAATTCATTCCCAATTAAATGAATAAGACGATTTTTGGGATGTGTTGGACGCAAGACAAAATCAAATTACATTTCAGAACATTACGCGAACAGACGATATTATACTTTGTATCCCTAATAACGGAGAAACTTTCGCTGATGGTTTTTGAATGGGATAGAGAGGATATAATCCTTAAGTTTGAGAGTGCCTACATGGGAATTTTAGCTTCTGTTCCTAAGCTGTCTAAGTACATCGCTTTACTGTCGACTGAAGTCAATAACTGCGTTAAAACCGCAGACGACCGACAGTAATATTTACCTTTATTGCGTAACTTTAATGTGTTCTTTGGATTAGTATACTGCCAAATTTCTCTTTGCTACCTTTAATGATACTATCCGCAGCCAAAGCCGTAGTTTCAGGGACGAAAGTCAAACCTAGGGTACAGCATAATTCCAGTATGCACTATTCTGTTTCGTAGTCGGCCAGTGATGCAAAAGTATGCAACCCACTGTGGAAGCACGATACGTTGCGAATTCGCGCTAGTAAATCCGATGTTAGATACCTGTGATGCTGTCTAAAATGAAATTCGCTGATTATTCTTCATGCGTGGCAGCACCACGTGTGGGGAACGTTTTTGGTCACTTGTCATCAACGGTGTACCCGTCACCGGTAACCTTTGCAATACCACGGAATATCACACGCGTTAGATGGTATTATAAGTGCACTGGCATGAAAACATGTCATCGACGCTTGGTCTGAGCAGGAGTTAGGGAATGAGGGATTTCTCTTCAGAAATCTATTCTTACGAAGAATTATTGAAAACATATGTTCGCTTGAAAACATTGAGTTTTCATCTATCGATGGGATTTTTTACTATTCTTACTTTATGGCACAATTGTACAGTGAAGAATTATCCCTCATCTGTGAAATTCGCTCTAAATAAGTAAATGTGTTTAGCCGTCTGTGGAGGGAGATACTAGCAACACCAAAGAG